ATAGTAATAGGTTATTAACAAAATAAAAACACCAAAACAACAGTACCAAACATGTAATGCTCCTTAATCAAGTGTAGGCACAATCATCTACAGGTGATTGAAGTGTGCAAAGAAAACAACAAAAACATTGAAAAGACAACATAGAAAGATAAATGTGTATAGAAAATCTAGTGGAAAATGTTATGAAAACAAAATTTACACGCTAATTTTTACCTGTCCCTTCTGAAAAGTGTGAGTAGGTGTGTGTATGAATTTTTAGTTTTGAATAAAGTTGTTTCCATTCAAAAAATAAAGAACATAAGAAAGATATTCAATGAGAACATTTTGAAAATATTTTTCAACAAAAATACACATTAAAACAAACATTGAAATGAATCAAATTACTGTTACCATGGTTACTTTACCCCAGCAAGACAACAAATAAAAATGAATTAGAAAACGATTTAGGAAAGTGAATTTATAAGAAGTCATAGACATAACCACTTGAAAGTTCACAACTTAAAGACACATTGATGACTGACGATTGTTTCTATACATCCACTTAAAAAGTCTGAAACATGTACTTTAATCCTTTTATATTCTCCTATTTGAATGTACAAAAGTATGATGGTGATGTGAAGACTGATAGTTACTAACCGTAAAAATATTCTCAATCTGTAAGTGTCGATTTTATCACTAACTCATCATCATTATCAACGTAGGACCAGGTATTACCGCATAATCGTTCACGTTGCCATACCTTATGTAAGCAAATCAAGCAACAAAACGTTAAGATTAAAGATAAATTTAAAAAAATCGTCCGAAGATAGTAGGAAGTAATAAAAAAGAGGAAGGAGAAAAAAGAAAAGAGTAAGTTCGGTATGACAATTAAGATATAGATAATTTGTGAAGACATCGGCACCACTGAAATTTATTCTGAGCCACATCACTTAGAGTCGCCTAACACTAACTGAGAAGTCTTCATTCTCCTACATGGCTAAGACCAACAGTCAAAATGGTTAATGAACTGATGTCATGTTTTGGCCTCACCACCTCTAACCTTTTTGCAGTCTAAACTTACTTCATCCAACATTTTGCGATAGGGCAAACGGGGATTTAGCATATGCAATACACATTCCAGCCATCTGAGTAAATGAAAATTCAAAACCATATCAAATGACTTTTTTCTCTACCCTGGAACTCTAAATCTGACTTCCACATTACTCGATTCACTATAAGGTTTGGCTCCAATATGAAATTAGTAGTCTCGTTTTAGGAAACTAAAAATAGTCTTTAATGAATTCAAATCGTAAACAACGATCATAGAGCAGTGTGTAGTTGCCAAAAATGTATGAGGTATAATTATGGTAACGAAAAACAGTAGTACAGATAAAAGTAAAGAGGTGCTGACGATTTTCCACGCTGAATGCAAGAGGAGGATTGTGGAACCGAATGAGGTGCACCCCAGTGTCATATCACTTCGCTTAGTGACCATTTTACAAAACTTGGTAGATATACTAAGATTGGTGGTAAGCACTAAAAACTGGACCCCGTAACATCAATTACTTATTGGAGATTTAATCGTGTAGAAGGAGGTGTTTTCAGAAAATAAAACAAAGGAGAGATAAGAGAACCGAGTCAAGTTAATCCAAACAACAAATTCTTCAAACAGGTTTTAGCTTAAGCAGATTGACACCGTTGATATTCCACTGAGTATATAAAACGAAGTCAAAAACAACATTGTGAAAATTAACACCCATTCCAAGTAAAGTCAGTGTTAGTAACTCAGTATTGTCAATACAAAGATCTGGAGTCATGTATAAGCACTGAGGTGAATAATGAATACTCTGAATTAAGAAATTGTATGACCGAGTTTTCTACTTTGAGAACTGGTAGGAAAATATACAGTGTACAACATCAGTATAACTAATAAAAATGTTTACGGTATCATTTCATCCTAAAGTACCTTACATCTTATATGGTATCACTGAGGTAGTGTAAGTGCGATTAACTTCAATCAAATTTAGTATACCATGTTTCAGGGTAGAAAAATTCATTAGCGTTGTCTAGCTTTAGGACATCAGTTTAACTCACAATAGAATAATCATGTGGCAAGTAGGTGATTTGATATTTCATTGATCACAATAAGTGAACTTCTGACTTACAATGCTAGATAACAGAAATGATATGCTGGAATCCAAAACACGTCAGCATACAAAATGTTAGTCTTTGGAAAACATATGTTCCATATGTGTACACTGTGTTGTTGCTGTGAGCGATATGATCAATGTTAACCTATGTTAAACCATGCCTAAAAAGCTTCGACTTTGAAATATCGATGAATCCTATAGTGTTGACTATGTTACATTTCTACACCACTGGTCACCATATTCAATATGCATACATATATATGCGATAGGTCATGTTCTCCCGAGCGTATACATTACGTATACACGTTATTATGATCTGACTCTAGCACAACCCATAGAAGTAACTTAATCCAATTTTCAACATAGGATTTAGCTGCAGCCAGAAAAAGTGGTAAAATGCGTCAGTCACTTCATTTACTTGAAGAGTTGCATTAGTTCGAACAGACTAGTTCCTGAAGAAATCTGGGCTGAAATGCAAAAGGTTCACTTAGCAGTTGTCGACTTGAATTATCTCTGGATCCGATCAGATATCTAATCACCTATTAAATGATGTGTATACTGCAGTCTGCTCCATCCTGCCACACAGCTGCGAAACTTGTCAGTTACACGTAGAATATATCAAAAGATTACTGGTTTTCGAACACAGGTATCTTCGAATTATTGCTCGCGTATGGTGGAATCGCCATATTATTAATGCAGAGGTTTGGCGAGCGGTACTAGGCAAAACAGGACAGTTGGTCGATAAGATTGTAAACCTTCAGTAACTGAGGTGATTTGGGTACGTCAAGGCACCATCCACCTCAACATGTAATGTTATCTGAAGTATGGTTGAGTTGAAAGAGGGCAGAGAATGACAAGACCAACCCGTAGCCCCAGTCCATGAAGTCCCTGCCTGCTGGTCTGAGCCATGCAGTGGGAAGTAGAGCTACACGGCTTGAGTCTTTCAAAGTCATGAAATATTCGCTAACCAATAACTTTAAGTTCCTTCTCCTCCCCTATACCTTTATTTATTTTGATATCAATCCTTTTTTTATCCGCTTTTTCTTTACATGCTACTGTGAAGTGTGGTAACTTGAACCAATACAACTGTGTGCAAAGTTCTAAGTTGATTTTGTCTGTTTATCTGAATAGCATATTTATCCGAGGAGCTATATCGAAGCATATAGTTGTACGTTACGAAATCTGTTCACAGTTATCCACAAATATAAAATACAACACGTAGGAGTTAAGTTTACCTGAGGTGACAAAAAATAATCCCAGTGCATAGAGAACCAGTACATTAGACTGTCTGATTGTAAAACATTTTCATCTAAGGGTTTACAGGACACGCTAGTGAGAATTATGTATAATGTCTTTGAAAGGTTGCTTTTCATTGTTAGTGTAGTGTTTATAATAACTTTCATAATGTCTAACGTAATCAATTAACAATATGGAACCATCAAAGCAGTTCTAATTATAATACATGACTTTTTAAACTCACAATATTTCAGAAATTTTTCTCAAACTTTTTCACCTCTTTTCTAATGATAGTTGGTGTTGCCAATGTTAAAGCCTTTTTAGATAAGCATTATTCATAAATGTTAACCCACTATCTTTCTTGGCGAAGAATGTGAGATAAGGGTAGAAAAAAGATAGGATGGTCAAGCCAAGGCACTGAAACAACTAGTAAAGTTTTAGACTGTTAGAATTATGTGAATTGTATGGCTTATCTTGCTGACGTCCTTAAGATGTTAGGAATCAGTGTTTAGTGAACCTCCATGATATGATTCAAAGATTGCATACCACCTTGGTGAAGTAGGACAAGTTGAATTGATGCAAATTTGTAGGCGGTCTTACTTTGACTGATCGGTTTGTCGAAGGATATCATCTTTTATTCATTTATGATAACTAAATTATATTTTTGATGCAATGAACAAGGCAGGAAAATAGAATGAATTTACTGTATTCAGCAAAATTTAGTATTCTTGCTTTATTCAAGTACACAAAGGGAAATATATATGGATGAAATTACGAATAAGCTTTTACAGCGTAGTTGCAATTAAATAAATCAGTTGCCAAAATATTAAAAGATATACTGATTCTAAGGCTGTCACCTAAATACCTGGTGGTTTTAAAACTAAAATGTGTCTTCCATTTTCATTTAGATTATACTTTGAATTAATCGTCTTTGAAAAATAATTAAACGATCAATAAATTGTTTAATATCTTGAAAAATAATTCTAAAATAAAAGAAGTGTAAAACGCACCACAATTGCCTTCAGTGAAAATCTCAGTGTGCCTGTTTGCATACTCAAAGTTCACTACATTAGAGGAAGAATGGTCTAATTTGAGAACAACAGATAAAATCAACATAAGACCTGATATTAGTATGTAACAGTCCAACAGACCACATCCCATACCAGCACATCAACCGAGAATGCACCGAGATGAAATATAAAGAACTAAAGAAGAAAACAATTAGAAGTGGAAGAAAGCCATCAAAAGAGGGCAATGAGAAGTGAGACAATAATGAAATTCAATATGATAACTAACATGAAGATATTGTGTGAATATATCTGCTCCAACGGCATTGATTATGAGTCATACTACCTACAGTTTCCAACCATTCATTCCTGTTATCCCTACACAACACAGACCAACGGTCAAAGACTTCAGGGACTGACAACATTTTCAAGTCTTTAGAACGATAAGTGCCGTATCGAAACAAAAACAGAAGTGTAGGTTATTTAAACTTTCCAAAATTATCGACTCAACAGCTATTTCATACGTTAGACACTAACTTCAATTTTGTTCTAAACTGATGACCAACCAAATGAATTAAATTAAATGCATGTAACCTAAATGAATATCACAAATAAAGTAGACAATTACCTTTAGGAGTAATAGATAAATATTTGCCACGGAATTTTGTTGATAAAAAGTAATCCTGCCAAACTTTCCATTTATGCCTAAGAGATTCACAATGTTGACTGCAACCAGGAGGATGATGACTAACCTTAGATTTGAATAAAAAGAAAAATGAAGTTAAATGAAACAAGTGAGTTTTATAGTTTACCAATACTTATTTGCGTTCAGTCAAACCCATCATATTTTAGTTGATTGGAGACAATCGGCAGGAAGCCTTGCTTTTTGGCACTCCAATTGATTAACATCAGAGTGCACAGCGATAGCGAGCCTCCTAACTTGGTGGTCATATTCCAAAACGATCGACAGAATTTGGTCAGCATTCATTCAGGACTAGACAACATGAAATTGGTTACTCTCCAGTGACTAATCAACGATGCTCATTATACTTTTAAGTTCACTAAATAAATATCTGTTTTAATAATGAAAATATAATACTGTTCTTTACAACAGCTCATATGACTCTACTACAAACAATTTTACATTTGGAACGTCTTTGATTTTGCAGAAGACAGCTAGCCCACTTTATAGCCTTTTGTACATTTCTAAATGTTCAGTATACTCAGGTTCTCTATCATTTCTTAACGGTAGATACACAGCCATGAAGCTAAGATCCATGGAACTAACTAATGAGGGAATTAAGAACGGTTACTCACTAGATATATTGAAAAACAGTCACACGATAGTGATAACTGACTGAAGTCATACAATAGTGATACTATGATAACTCAGATTCATTGGCTTTAAACAGAACTTTGCTTTTCATCAAACATGATGGACTAGTGAGTGGATTTAACCACCTTCTCGAAGAACTAAACTGACAGGAAGAAAACTGTTTGTATAACTGATTATACAACGAATCTAATTAAAAGGATAATATCCATTTAATGCCACCCATAGAATAGTTTTAAAAACCAATAGCAACTATTACGATATAATAAACTGTGGATATAAAGAATACAAAACAAAATTAAAATACTCTTGGATCTATTATTCATTTTATCTAAACACACAGATGAATAAATAAATAATCTGGTATATTTAACTGATATAGAACCACACCAAAATAATAAGGCGTCAACTGAGTACTTATTTTAAAACTTTCTTTTACTGCAACAGCAAACGTAACACTGGAAATTGATGCAATATACTCTCATACACATACACACACACACACAAACAAACATGAGTGCGTGCACGTTCATGTTCCCATTTATGCTTATTGTTTTCTTCTTTCTTATATGAACATAAGAAATGAGAAAATTTAATGTGAACAAAAAATGAAACACAATAGATCGAAATTAACTGTAGCGACTAAACAGGAACGATATACACAAGCGCATGTGTGTATGTGTGTGTTTACGATAAATAGGTTACTGAATGTTTTCTGCTTCAACAAGTATGCACACAACAGGTTATAATGTAGAACTAGACACAAAATAATAGGTAGCAAAGATGTATAACAGTTTGTTTGTATCCAACCCCAAACTGAACGCTAATATTACCAGTAAATGCGGAATTCGCTACTATTAAGATGCATTTCATTACGAGATAACCGTAGCTACAAAATTACTGAAAATGAGCACTGACAGAAGTCAAAGAACTTTTCAACAGATCTCACTTTCAACTTCAAATGGAATCTAGGTGAAAGAAACACGGATCTTAGGAGTTATAATGGTTATCAATCATATGATCACAATCTAACGAGCTACATTTTACTAAAACATATCACGAGCAGACATCATCAAGTATTGTTGATTAGTAGTTACTTTCACTCGTTATCCAAATCAAATCAAAAGCCAGAGCTTCGCATTAGAAAGTCACAGAATCTACCACAAAGCTAATTAAAACAAATCGTTAGAGTGGCTTTCGAAAACTCCATTAACCTGAAGGCTATATTTATTATGGATAGACATTAGTTGCTAGATAGGTAACTATTCAAAATAACACCGAATTATTGTATCATATAAAATATCTCAGAATGCTTCAATAATAAATAAAAGAACGAAAGTAGGAAACAGAAATATACTACTGAAAAACAAAAGTAATTAGAAACCAGTAAATAGGTACTAAAGTGAACCAAACGATGAACAACAAAAATGCATAGAGAACAAGTCACTAGAAGCACTCGGAATTTAAAGAAAGACTTAGAAAACGAAGACATTTGCACTACTCAGACTAGTAAGTTCGAGACATTCTAACCAAATTTAAGAAGTGAATAGTTGTAGGTCACTCATCCCAATCAGGTGTACTCAACAATTAGGTCGATGTGACCCGGAAACTAGATGACAATTTCGCCATTTGACTTTGAGCTCACTAGCGGTGTATTCGGAATGATTCAGCTAAGCTAACCAAAATGTTTAAATTAACCCACTTCTGACCAGCTATTTGAGCAGACTGGTCATATCGAGAATCAAATTGGCTGTTTGATTCTACCACAACATATGCTTACAGATTTTAATAGTCAAGTTCTTAGTGTTCAACTTTCAAAAACGAAACAATTTGAAAAATAACCGACCATCTAGTATTTTTCTCGATTTTACGCCCATTTTAAGAATGACTGAAAAATTATATCAGACGTTAAACAAATTGTTCACAGAAAAAGAAACTAAAATAGATGTTCTTCTTATGTCAGTAAAAATATATACCCTTCAGGAAAAAAATCCTACCTGTTCTACAATACAACGCCATCCCATATCATCAGTACGATCGCATTCATAGGTTTCACCGAGTAATGAATTAAAAGGTTTTCCGGTGCGATAAGATGTTGAACTATAACAACTAACTGAAAAGGCTGTAACATAAGCCATTTGTTCAACAGGATCTGATGTTTGAGAAGCATGATCTAATAAATAAGAATAGGTGAAGTCTTCAACTGCCCGTTGAAGGAATGAAAGAGGTTCATTGAAATTTACCTGAAATATTCATTAGATAAAAAGTCAGTTAAAAACTTAGTTCAACCGTTAAAATTTAACATATATATGATTATTTAGAGCAGATAACCAAAACCTCAAAACCACCCAAATCATATCAAATATGTTAATTGGTCTGAGGAAATAGACAGGTAGCCCCATTTGACCTTGGGTTTCGCGTCTGTTGGCATTCATCAACAAGGAGTATTTGCAACTTCGAGGAAAGTGATGACCTCGGCGAAACTGAAATCCCACGTCACTCAAAGACGTTATCATTCAGCTATTCTGGTGACAATTGACCTCCTGTAGGACTGGATTATGTACATTGACTAGTCACTAGAGAGTAACAAATATTGGATAGACCAATGTGTAATGATTTCAAAACAATAATAAAGCTGATTGTCTATGAAAACTCGATAAGATTAAATCAAAAGAAATTTGAACCTCGTGAGACCAAGATGTCCGTTAGACATACAATATCTTTACAATGAGGTAGTTCCATCGTCGAATTTCTGAGCACCACCCATCGTGGTTGAACAAGGGACAAATTAGAACTATAAAGAGCTCCATACTTGCACACCTAGTTGACACGGAACATCAAGTAGATACTAGAAAGGCTTTAAAAATCACTCGTCACATTCCAATTAATTTACCTCATGGATTACACTTTCGCTTACTTCACATAGTACAGGCAATCTCAATCCACCTTTACAAGCCTAACGTTTATATTCAAAAGAAGTTTGTTCGACTACTTTCATTATCGTGGCCGTCCACATGACGTAACGTCTAGTATTACTCTGTATACCTCTTCCCCCTCTAGTTTCTATCAATATTTTTTTATCATTACGCAATTATTTATTGTTTATGACTGAACACTCATCAAAAATCACTCCACTTACCTAAGAATAGCCTGCTTTATACTTCCAATTTCATTAACTATTGATTATTTACATTATTATTTCTAAAACACCAGGTGATTGGTAATTTGACTAAATAATAAAACCATATATGAGTGTAGAGGCCAAAATGAAAACGTAATTGAAAAGGAATATATTTCTTCCCTCACTCAGTCTTTTTCTAAATGTCTAAATGGGAATATTCAACGCATTCAAGGAAAATTAGTTCCAATTTGACGAGAACTATGCTGATCAAGGAGTTTCAGTGGTTACGAATATCTGGTTCACAACAAATCTTGAATCTTTACTATCTAGCGTTGCCTTGTTTGCTAACGAAGAATACCACGTGGGAAATCATTTCCCCAATAGTTGGCAGATGGTTACATAGATTTATGCTCGACCCAATGATCATATTGATCAGAGGCAATGTTGTCATTTGCTCAGCTGATACATGCGACCAGCTAGAAACTTGACATTAGAACTGTGAAAATTTCATCTCATAGCAAACAGTTCTTTCAATAAGCACTTTTAAGTAATAAACTGAATTTTCATGTCAATTTAATTGCAACTTTGAAATTTTAATGCAGTTCTGTTTTAAAAAAATGAATAATTAATGGTACTGCCACCTTTGTTACTTACATTAACTTCGATACATTTTAAATGAAGTTAATAAGTACTGTTTTGCTGGTCAGTTAGAGTTTAATAACAAAAGTACAGTCCCAAGAAATGGCTGTTAACTTTGTAGCATCTCGAATTCTATCCCTGACCTTGACCTAATCTACTTTTTAACTCAAATGTAAATTAATGCAGAATTTTCACTAACAATGACAATAAAACTGAATTCCAGTCAGGGTATCATATATGTAGATAGATAGTTTGAAGGTAGAATATAATTTAGTTAACGAATCAAATAAACAAAAGTTGTACACAGTTGTAATTGAAACGTTAGCTTTTAATACAAATTTAGTAAATATACAATTTACATAATTTAATTCTCATCTTAAACTCGAAAATATAAAAGTTGAATTGTATTATTTTTCATATGATGATCAAATCACGTGTAATTGACTGACGTGCTGTGACATGAGTTAAAATAGATCACTGTCATTCTAATACATTCACTCATTATTCCTTATCATCCTCAAAATTACGCACATTTTTGTGTAATAGTTTGTAGGTACCCACTATTAGTATATGGACTCCGGTTTGAATGATTCGTTATTCTTAGTAATTTTTATGTTTGGTGTTAACAATGAATATTAATCAATGGTGGACTATAGGAGGTGGATTTCATCTTATTTAGGACTAGTCCCCTATAATTGCCTGCAAACCAATGAGTGATGGTTTTCCCAGTGCAACTCATAAGAGGCGTTGATGGCTTTATACAACTTCAGATTCAATACCAAGGTGTGTGAAACTCGTGCAGTAATAAATAAGTCTGTAAATCATTGCTTCCTTATTCACATATAGTATTACACTGACTATCATCTTGTGGTGAATTCTTGAGTTATATATATATATATTTTTCACACGGGACACTCGGGAGCCTGAAAAACTCAACATGTGTTCAACATTGCACCTTACCATTTTTGATGACAGCCTAATCGCCTCTCTCCTAACATTTCGGGTGAACGTATCTGATTCTTCCACAAAAACAACTTATATATCTTTGGATGCATTACGCAACCATTTCGTCCGCTCATGGGACGACAGAAGTTCAACCATCCACTCATTTTCTCATCCCTTTCGACTGTCTATTCAGCTCACTATTACTACCTGTAGCAAAATCCTAGACATCAGCTTGTCGTTTGTTTGTCAGAGAAAATGTTCAATCAGTGTCATAAACAAGGGTATGAATATATTCTAAAATGACTTCGATATTACTTCTAACCATGAAGACTTTTCGTCCATCACACTTTGTCATTACTCCTTTCATTATTACATGATTTCTAGCTTACTAATTATTTATACTCGGGAATTCATCGATGGGATTTGAGAGAGTTCAGTTTTGTACTAAATTGATATGTGGAATCCCGGTTGGTGATATCCACACTCTCTTTCATACATTAGCATTCATCATCAATCTTTGAAGTGACAACTGACTATAATTGTGCAAGTGATGTGAATAATGAGGTTGTCGTTAAGTTATTCCATTCCACAGTATGATATTTGATGAGTTCAACTGTAAACGGATGAATTGGGATTATCTTGATCAAGGTAATATGCACTGGTGATTTGTGTGTGCTCCGCTGCTACTAATACTTACGATAAAACAACAATGTTCCATTCACCCGCAGCCAGAAACAACAAATAACTAAAACCCTGTATAGGAGAACATTGCCATAATACAGTAAGCTACTCCAAACTCCACCTATGAAAAAGAATATCTATGAGATGAGAAGAGATCTGACGTATTCACTTCCTCCAAGACTAATGTAATACAGTCGAATAGCTTTATTTCATACTTCCTGAATAAACTTCCATTTTCAAACTATAACAGCATATACATACTTCTTGAATTGAAGAAAAGCTAATATTTTATTTATGTGACTATAAGTGTTTGCAAGAACTGGCGTGGTATCATGCTGCTCTCCACCCTAAGCAAAATATTAGGCCGCATCATACTGGAGAGACTAAAGTATGCGCTGGATTAAAACTACGACCGGAACAAGCTGAATTCAGTAAGTACAAGCCATGTGCGGACCAAATTCCAACGCCACACTACGCATCATCATAGAACACAGTATAGAATAGCAGTCAACTCTTTACCTCAACTTGTTCGTTTTTCATAAGACACTCAATAGCGTCGACCGAGGTGTAATTTGGCAGCTGCTGCTTCAACATTTTGCCACAAACCTTTATCAATCTCATTCAACAACTATATGAAGATGCCACATGCCAAGTAATTCACAATGGAGAGCTCAGTGATGCCTTTGAGGTGAAGACAGGAGTAAAACAAGACTGCCTACTATCACCCATAATATTCCTGATTGTGGTCGACTGGACTGGACTGGATCACGCAACAAACAGTGGGGAGCGAGAAGAGGGGGATACGCTGGCTGGACCGTGGAAAAGAACCCAGAAGATTTGGATTTCGCCGATGACTTATGTCTAATGTCACACAAACTTGAAAATCTACAGGCAAAAACTAACAAGTTGTCAGAAGAGGCGAGGCCGAAAAGACGCGACTTCAAGTAAACAATAAGCTTCAATCCTCACCAACGGGAGAGGCCTAAAGGAAGTAGTCTCTTTCACCTATCTAGGAAGCACTGTTTCAACTACAGGCGGCGGCGGTGGCGGCACAGACGAGGACATCAAAACCAGGATCAGAAAGGCAAGACAAGCCTTCATTAACCTGAGACCAGTGTGAAGATCTACTGCACTGCACTGCACTGCACTGCACTGCACTCAGCATAAAGCGTGAACAACATCCAAATTTTCAACACTAATGTCAAGTCAGTAAGTATTTCTACATGGTTTAGAAACTTGGCGCGTTACCAAAAGCATTTCCAACAAACTACAGACATTCATCAACAACTGTCTACTCTGGCTTGTTACTGAAGATCAGATGACCAGAGTAATAAGAATAAGCAACAAGGAACTCTGGAAACGAACTAACCAAGAACCCATCGCTGAACAAATATGCAGAAGGAAGTGGAGATGGATTGTATTGGGTATACACTGAGAAGGCCGATTGGGTACATAACGCGCCAGGCTAGGCACTCGAGTGGAGGCCAGATGGGAAGCGACGAGTTGGGCTTTGGTGCCGAGGGTGAAATGGAGGAGATTGTGCGAGGAGGAAATGAGAGCTTGTGGGCAGTCGTGGCGACAGGTTCAAAAGTTTGCAGAGAACAGAGTGTACTGGAGATGTGCTACTGAAGCCCTATGTTCCACTAGGAACCCAAGGGACAAATAATAATAATAATTTATAGCGTAAAAATCTACGCTACACGTTCAGTTCATTGACTCCCAACGAAAGTCTGTACAAGTTTTAAATTAATCCAAATTATATACGAGTAAAACTTAGGCACTATGACAAATTGTTACTTCATTTCAGTTGATTTATTATATGTATCACACAGTGGAACAGTAATATATACTGGATTACATTTCGGACCCAAACTATTGTCTACAGTTGCATCAATATAACTCCACAACTTGGAACTTGCCGTTGTCTTTTTGTAATCTCTGCTTATGCACTCACTGTGGTTCAGATCAAGAGGAAGATGGGTTTCACTGGAAACTGTCTAGCCTGCTACTGAAGACTCAATTTTCAGATGCGATAGTCACTACAAGTGATTTCAATGCACAACTCGACAGGCCAAAATAAGTAGAAAAGCACTTTCAGAATCTCACCCGAACGAACAGAAAACGGCGATTGCCTGCTAGAACTGTTCTTCGACAACCATTTCCGGCCAGTAAGGAACTTCAGAAATAAAAAGAAACGTAGCGTCCAGTCAATGGTGGACACGGATAAACCATATTACCGTCAGTTATCGCTCGATAAGATCGTCAAAAGATTACCGATCATTTTGCAGCACGCATTTAAACAGGGGTCAGGCGTATGTTTGCACCTAAATATGTATAAGAAATATGCGTAAGAAAACTACAAAAACAAGACTGTTATGAGCGTAGAATGCCGATGAGGATACCAAGGCTATTTTTAACAAAGGATAAGCTAGACAGTTATCGGAGCAGACCAACTTCACTCATTTGCAAGAAGCTTGGTGCCATCTCCACTCTGAGACAAAAACAGCATATTAAACCGTAACTAACCATCAAAAAACTTAAGAAGAGTCAGTGGATGTCAGAAACTACCTCCGAGCTATTGGATGTGTGTGAATACATTCCAACAGGTTCTGAAAACACTCAGGAACTGAAGCAACTCAAACGTAGACTGATAAAAAGTCTAGGTATTGACCGCGAACAGTGGTGAGTAATTAAGGTTAACGAGATGAAGGAAGGAGCGATGGGTAGCAGTAGACAGTTATTTAGACTTATTACGAAAAATGAGGAGAAAAGGTCAATAATAAGTGAGACAACAGCTAAGAAGGATGTGTCTGGGATTTACACATGGAGCCGATTGGTATCATGAGCAGAAAGTTTCGAACGACGGTTTAAAAGGTCTTCCATATCTACTATCAAGTCAGATACTGAATCCAATAATGAGACAAGCCTTTCAACCCTTGCAGAAGTTGAAAAGGCTGCAAGTAACCTGAAGCGAGGAAAAGAGGCAGAGTCAGACAGGTTGGTATCATGAGTGTTCACGTAAGGCAGTCGAGTACTGGACTAAGTAAAGTGACAGCAGGTGCATGGGAACGTGACACTTTCCCCTCAGATTGGTTTCAACCACTAATATTCGCAATCATTAGGGAAAGGAGATGAATCCGACTCAGACAACCGAGGAGTTTGCGATTGTGAAGTATAAGTTCCGATATGTACGCCTAGTAGTATTGATCGAATGAATCCACTCTCTTCATCGAAATTTGATTTGTCATAAACGTGCTCAAATTGCATCCCGCCTCCTTCGATTACATATGAGCTGAACTTATCACAAGAGATTCCTCAAGATGTACTCTCTTCTGGATACTTTCTGTCATAGCTTGAAAATATTCGGGATGAGTTTATCACAAATTACAAGCAAACTGTTGTCCCAACACTGGTCTCCATGAGTGTACCATCTAGTAATAAGAAGCAATAAAAGTTCAGTGCGTTGATAACTTCAATTACATGGGAAGTCGGATCAGACCTGGTGCGTTGGTCAACCTAGAATTCACACGTAGAGTTTTAGGTAGAATAGATAGGTCACTTGATGAGATTGTGAAACTTGATTGACCGAGTTGGCTGGGGAATGTGCATCACGTATGCCGAATCACCGTCTGACTCCTAATATGGCGTTAGCCGAAGTAGGTTCACACTGCAATGAGGTTAGAAGCAGCCGAACTAAAAGATGACAAGGATCTACGAAGTCTTTGACTGTTGGTCTGAGTCGTGTAAAGAAATGTAGACTTCCCGGTCAGAGTCCACGTAACAACTTGAACCAGTGGTTGGGGGCACCCACATCATACGGTTTAGGATCGATGTCATAAGTGCAAACACATCTACTCATTATCATCAAATCATTCACTGTACTTAACTTGTTTATTGTTTCCTTCTTTCTTGTTCCCATTCTACAAGCTTCTGCAACTTTGACTACTTTCTTCCTTATTTCTCTATCGTGAATCGTTTCCCCTTCTACCTTGATGTGGCAATGTGGTGTGACAATAAGGACCGTAACTCAGTAATTTTAGGTCCTGCATTGATGCTAACTGACTGACTGACATCTGGTTTCCCTTTGTAATCCCTACAAATAATTTACAGAATTCCTTTCCACAATTCCAAATGACTTGAAGTGTCATCTATAAACCATTGGTAAGTCAACTTTAAACTTGATATTTAAACTCAGAAACAGTAAGGTCACCACAACCAGAGAAGGAATTACCTTCCGTATTTAGAAACAGCTCTTTCATTGTAAAAAAAAAAGACTGATTAAGCGAAGAAATACATTCCTTTTCAATTAGGTCTTCACCTTGGCCTCTACACTCATGTATAGTTTTACAGTTTAATCAAATTACCAATCGCGTGTTGATGTTTCGGAAGTAATGACGGAAATAATCAGTAGGGTTACTAAAATTGGAAATGTGAAACAATGAGCGATTACGTAATAACAAGAAACTAAAAGAATATTGAGAGAAACAAGAATGGGGAGAGGTGTACAAAGTAAACCTAGAAGTTACATAATTTTGACGGCCACGGTAATGAAAGTGGTCGAACAAACTTCTTTTGGATACAAAGGCTGGGTTTGTAAAGGTGGACTGCAATCGCCTCTACTATGTGAAGTAATCAAGTGCGTAATCCATGAGGTAAATTAATTGGAATCTGAAAGATGATTTTCAAAGCTATTCAGTAACCACTTGATGTCCTGTGTCAACTAGGTGTGCAAGTATGGAGCTCTTTATAGTTCTAATTTGTCCCTTGTTCAACCACGATGGGTGGTGCTCAGAAATTCGACGATGGAACTGCTTCATTGTACGCCCAATGTAACTAGCTCCACAGGAGCAGTTGAATTGATAAATGCACATAGAAGTGGCAGAATCAGACAGTTTGTTTTTATTTCTTGCACCTAGAATCGGGTGGTTGTAGAAGGTGGGACATAATTTAGCAGCTGGAAATGCTTTATGCAAGACTCTTTTTATGCGTTGTGTGATGATCCTGCTGGCAATGTCACTCTTTAATTCTACCCTTGAATATTTGGTAATCATATAACCTTATCGATTATTAACAGACTGTTATTTATTTCCAACAAGTGTACAACTTTAGTGATAAAAAACTAAACTATCTTAGTGTTATGTTTCCCATCGTGTGAAAACAAGGGTGACTGTAAATACAGATTCGTCGAATATCTTCAGCTCAAAGTTTTCAGATTTCACAGACAGAAAACGGCTGTTTGCACCAAGTGTTAAACAACCAGTCTCAAGTGCCACAATAAAGTCACGATGGCAACAGAAATTATTCATGTTAGCATACAGCACTGTGGCCTTTGGTAAACGAATAGAAACCTAATAAATTGGACGTCTATAACAATCACACAACTATCCAAATATACAAGTATTTTGAGTATTTCCACCCGTTCAATCCTAACAATGAGTGCAGGAATCAACATTTTCCAATCGTGCAAACGTACTTTTGCACCCCGTTCATTGTTCACCACATGTTAATTTCTTTTAAAGCAATGTGGAAATAAAATAATCATTGGATAAGATAAAACATCTATTAAAAACTTGACGCCTTTGAAAAAATATTTGTCTGTAGTCAAACAACTTAACGAATCAATGTTCGTGATATAAGACCTGATATTTTTAGTAAAGAACATGTAGGTCATTGACTTAAACATTGAGATAATAAAACATTGGTTCTCAAGTTCAAGGTTTGCTGCATCTTCTTCGTCCTAAACGCCAAGTTTGATTCATAGTCGAATACATTAACAGCTGTACCGAGAGAAATTGAAATGAATTGTTGGCAGATGAAAAAAATCAGTGGATAATAAACAAATCACTCACACAAAAATAAAAATTTTAAAAATTCAACTTACAGGAACAGGGATTTTCGCCAAATCTTTACCAATAGCATTCTTAATGATACCCCATAAATTTAAGGCAATTTTTGGAGAAACGGGAATTGTAGTTCGACGTTTACGAATATACCTATCGTTATTTACACGTTTCAATGTATTATTACGCTGGTTAACTGAAATACTTCTATTACATGCGTTAAGATAACCATCAGACTGTATAAAAAGAAAAAAAGAGAAATAACGAAATATAAGATTTGGTTAAAGTGATGTAAACAAAAATGAATCGAAAAAACAAAACTTACTCAGTAACCATGCACCAATTTTTGCAGTAGACAATGAATCACACCTATTATGTGAGGTTTAAAAATACTACCTGCCTGTTCAAAATTCGGCAAGTCAGGTAGGATCCGAGTCCATGACTCTCTGGTTGAAAACCGAGTCCATGGACCGATGAACCACAGATCCATGAGTAAAAAAAACGAAGGAAGAAACCACTTAACTGTTGAGTATTTATAAATGTGTGTATATTAGTTTTGAGATTCAAGCCGAAGTCTTTTGGTGCTCACGTTGAAGAATTTACTACCCGTAAGCATAGGACTTAATATATATTCCTCCTAACTGTCCTCTCATCAAGTTCAGTAGTTATGCCACACTCTCTAAATGACAGAATTCAACCAGCACAAAAGGTAACAAAGAAGAGGACCTATGGTAACATCTCTGTGAAAATATCAGTTTCCTCGACGCTGCAGAGCTTACAAAGCTAACAGGTGAGTCAAATGTCAGCCGTCAACTACTGATTCGTGTGCATAATCTACTCCTGTAGTGGATCAGTTATGACCTAAGTAGCTTAGTGATAAAGTCACTGGTTACAGATACATACAGCTATATGATGAGTGCCAACAATCGGGAAACCTAGATCTGGGATTTCCTGCTATTTCACTCTCAACAGTCAAAATCCAATAATCTTATAAATGAGTATCAATAAACTGAAGAAAGAAACTTTCAAAATCATCTAACAGTATTGCATTACCCACCTATTCAGAAAAGCAAGTCAGTTCTTAACGTAGAACGTTTTGGAAATTTGTGATACAAAACTTAGAAAAGATCTGGCTCTTGATAACAGCTTGGGTGCATTTTTCCTCTACAAAGATGAAAACGAAGTTACTTAGGAAAATATACAAAGTTTTTAATTTTTTTCATTTCACATTAACTACTCCATACGGTAACCGAATATGATGCAATCGTTGAACGCATTAACATAGATGTCCAGATGAAGTGAAGGTGAAGCTTGCTATCTCTATGCACGTAACAACTAGTTCAAAAAGTGGCATACTTTTTAAAGAAAAAAGTATTTATCTCTGTCACCAAATTATGTGAATGGTCAACCTGGTTCTGGTGACTATAAATGAAAAATTAACTATAGAACAGCAGCTGGTAATCTAACTTTTTTATTAACAGATACATGTATATCTAAAAACCTGAGTGTTGAAAATTACGATGGGAAATGAGCTGCATTCTTGAAATACACGAAATGTTTGCAGAAGAAAAAAGTATAGGATGAAGAAAAATTGAACAAGAAAACTATCACAGTTGTCGTGAAGTTGAGGTATTCAAAATAAAACTAATTTTGACTGATTTACATCCAAGCAAGAATCCCATAACCATCAACACCAGAATACCTGAGGGTATAGGAAATATAATATTTTTACGACCAACCTCTTCTAATCCCTCCTTCTTACAGAAATTGTAGCAACAGCATGAACCACTAATCATCTATACGTAAAAGTGGGGCAATCTACAGTATGACGGTGACTGCTTTTTGTCTTACAGCTATGCGACAAACCTTTCCGGTTTGGTTATACCTCAGGAAACAAATGTTTCCATCAGCATGGCTTGTTGGGTCATTGTGATATCCAAGCCTTACCAAAAAGTACCAGCTATCCATTGGGTCACCGATTCGCAGTCAAATAGGGTAGGGTTCCGAAAATCTTGAATAAAACAAGCTTTGAACGACACATATATAACCTGACCCATAGAAGAGCGTTAACTAGTATGTGTCCAGAAAACTCTTACGATGAGATAGTCTACCCTTCGAGATTTTAGATAACAAAGTTTACATAATTAGTGCCATATTTCGATAAATCTTCACAACTCATAATACTCATAACTTTTTCATGATATAAATGGCATTTTTAGTGGTGATGTTCTACTTCGCTTGCTAACTTCACTCTATAAACTACTCTAACTTTATATATATATATATATATATATATATATATATATATATATATATATATATATATATATATATATATATTTATATGCCACCGAAAATAAGATATATTTCCGATTGCACACCTTTGTGATTGTAGTCGCTGAATTACATCTCTTGGAGGGTATTTCCAGCATAATGGAGAAAGTAATCGCTTTTAATTGTTCATTCAGCTTCAGATCTTAAACAGTAAATATTTAATTTCAGTCCAGATGACAGCATCAGTGCAAACGTATCATCTTTTTGAGAGCAGAACAGTTGCTTACTTCCTTCAATGTTTTGATAATTATAACCAAAACAGATAACAAGAATACAGCTCAACAAATTCGCACAGATTTTTGCATTAGATTATTAAGAATTGTAAAGAGACTTTTTCTTAAGGTATTTGAATTCGAGCAGGGGCAATGGAAATAAAACCTGCAACAGTTGACAGCTGTTGTTGAATACTTTCACTACTACCCGAGAATTCATCAACATTTACTTCGTTAGGAAGTGGAACACTTTGCTAAGTATAACCTATGTTGATCTGGATTTCTAAGCAAGCATAAATGAAGAACCACTTTATGCTTACATGTTGACCTATTCAAACTTTTTTGCTGTTGTTATATGACATCGAGCAGAAGCAATATTACAATGTCAACCAAGTAATGTTTATCTATTGATTTCAGTGATACGTTTTCTGCTTAATAATAAGTGATATTTCTTAAATAACAATCTGAACGTCAAATACAATTCTAAGGATCTTTTGATACCAATATACTTTGGAAACTCTGCTGGTAGGAATCAACTTTCAGTTCTCCAGTAGTTCCTTTGTAGGATTTTTACATTGCCATCCATTTTTGCCATATTTCTTGACTTAAAGAGAGCATTTAACTTTGTCAACCATGAGGCATTGTGGTGATGTCTCACTGTAAAGGAAGTACTGAGAAAGAATATAACGGTGATCAAAGCTGTTTACTCAAACTGACGCAGTTTTGCATGGGTTAATGGAGAGTTGTCATGTGAATTGACGACACCTAGTAGCGTTCGCCAGGGATGTCCGTTATCACCGTTCCTACTTAACTTCGTTGTAGACATGAAGCGATTATAGAGTTCTGATCCTAAATATTTTCGGAGCACTGCTCGCGTTGGGTGGAATCAACGTGTGAGCAATAGTGAGGTCAGGCGAAAAGTAATAAACAAAACAGGCAAGTCGATTGATGAGGTTGTGAACCTTAGTGGACTGAGATGGCTTGGACATATACTGTCCATGCCAAGTCACCACCTACTTCAAGGTGCCATGCTAAAGGAAGTTGGATGGGACTGGATGACGGTTGTGGATGGCCAGACCAGAACGCTGCACCGATCGATGAAGTCTCTGACTATTGGTGTGAGTCGTGTGGGGCGATGTAGACTGCCTGCTTAGGGTCTTCGAGTAGAAAGGAATCAATGGTTGAGGACTCTTAATAGCAAGATTAAAAGTTGGTCAAAATGGCGCAGATGTACTCACTCCTTGACATCTAAAGCTTAAATATTTGCAGTAATCTTTGCCTTCAAATTGATTATTCTCTCACACAACTTCGTCTACTTGGATATCACTTCTTTTCTATATATCTTTTCTTTGAATACTATTGTACACTGTGGCAACTGGAACCGATGCACTTATGTGCATAGTTATAAGGTTGGTTTTGTCAATCAGTCATATCAGATTGTCTAATTCATAGTGAATACTTATAAATTCGTTTAACTATTAGAATGCTGAAATGACTGATGTGGTGTGGTTCACAGTCTCAGTAAACGATGTTGCAAATCAAATTTATCATTTATTGTTACCCACAGGTAATTTGCAATGATCTTTTTAGTCAGCATGTGATGCAAAACTTAAGTGAGCGAAGAAATTAGTTGACGATGCATCAAGTCATGAAACCTAAACAAACTGATTCGTTCAGTGGATCAATGTAAATATGCTCTTTATCGTTCTGCAAATAAGCCCTTCTTCGGAATATAGGTTAATGGATAACTCCTTCAGATTTCCATAACTGTTGGGCAGACGTCAAACAGTCAACCAAAAACAATATACATACCACACATACGAATGAAAAAAGATAAATTAACACCTGCCAATCTGTAATCATACGTGATGTCAATGGAATGGACCTCAAGATCTCAATACACAGAGCAGAGACTACATGAGAAAGGGAATTCTAGTTAGACTGAAGAATCTACTCAGCAACATTTTGCACGTTTGCAGACTAGGTAATGAGCTATATTTATGGTGTGTAGGTTAGTGGTTCTACCTGACTATCTAAACCTTGTAGGTGGAGCGGTGTCTGAACTCGTGACCCACTCCTTAAAAGTCAACTCCTTAAATCCTCAATGAGTTATGGACTTAATTCAAGGGTAATAAGTATTCACCAACAAATGTCTTCTAAATACTTAGAACATCCGTTCTAACTAGTCTAAAGGAAAAGACTTCACAATAACATACTTCGAAAGTAGCAACACTGATGCAGAAACATTTTACTTTTTGTCCATCTTGAAACCTTCAACATATAATTTATCTACACTTATGTTTTGTGTGTCAGCGCTGTGATTGAATATTAAAGAAATTGAGCCAGTAAGCCACTACCCAACGAACTACAACTATCCGTTGTGATAATTACATTTTAATATTACCTCATTAGACTGTTTATCACACCAGTTGAATTCTACACAACAATTAATTTGTATGAGACTCACGCTAGTCTTTCATGCAACCTTTTTATGGAGCTGCGGCTCATTGGTTTAGTCACACAATAGGTGTGGCTCACTGCCAACTGCACAGATGTGCACAAGGTTGCTGAGTGAGTTCCGCATTACGTTCATGCAACATTAAAAAGGACGTTGTTTGAATTCAAAAAGAGTTGGAAGAAATCAAAATGAAATAAACTAAACAACTCAGTTCGCCTACCTGTGCAGATTCGCCAGTGCCACTATCATTACTTATTCGAACAGGTCTATGCATGAACCCATTTGGTAGGTCTGAATCACTACCAGAGACTGATGATTCTTCTACAACATTCACTAGACTATTTAAACTGGTTGAAGAAGCTTGAAATACTTCACTGTTTGGTAGAGATAAGTTATATGATGCAGTTGTGAGATTACCTGGAGTACACTGACTACGATGATTGTCAGCTAGAAATACTGGGGAATCGTGTTGTTCTGCATCAAAAGTAGACACTGCATCATAGAATTCATCGCCTTCCTCATCAAATATCTTATCTATTGAATGAACATATTGTTCACTTTCTGAAATAAAATAAGCACATAATAAACATTGTTGAAACAAGGCAAAAATCTTCCAATAAAAAACACAAAATTAGATTATCTTTTTTACTGTATTAACTGAGTGATATTTTTATGTAATTATTTAAGTTGTGAAGCTGAATACTAAAAGGAATCTTGAATTAACGTTTTTCTTTGGTTCTCACCATAAAACAATGAATAGTTTCATACTGATAGATAGTGTTTAGTACTGGAATCAAAAACGCGCGCTTCATCCTACTAGAAACTAGTCAGCTAAATGTGCCTGCCTACCAGTGAGAGACGTTGTTCCCACTAAAACTTAAACCCAGGACCGATCGCTTCAAATACCAACAAGCAACAATATGGTGAACAATTTGCAGGCAATACATTATAACAGCATACAACTATGCAAGGTGAGACACCAAACGCCTTGGCTGGTCAACACAAGCCACTTGCATTCACCTAAGTTTACTTTATTTTACAATTTATCTATCTTATCTTAAATTTCATACTGAACTTTAAAACCTGTTCATTAGGTGGTCCCACCTTTCATCACCTAATCGAAAAACTGTAAATTCGGTCAGAAAATATAGGTTTTGCAGTCTGCATTTTGAGTTCGCTTACGTGTGATTGTTTAACCAATATTATTGCTGATTTGAGGAGCATTAATAACTGTAAATTTATTACCTATGGATGCAAAATATCAAGCAATCAAGAAGCTCAGATGACATGTCTGAAAATCACCATTATTTGTACACGTATATTCCCATATCAAAAAAATGGGCATATTAACACTTAATGAGTACTTAATTTACATTGGGATCTGAAGTGATCGAATGAGTTATAACACATGAAATTAGTAACACCAAATCTGCAGAAATACCGGAATTGTACATGAACAAAAGGTGTTCCCTGCAGTATTTCCTGCTTTAAGGAGCAGAAAAAACAATGAAAAACTAGCCAGTACGTTAGTACAAGTATAGTTATATCTAAAGAATTACTGGTGGGACACAAGTTGCCTCATATTCGCAGATACGCCTAGCTGATGAGTCCCAACAAGCACCAAAACTAGGTTCAACGCTGTCTCCCAACATCTAAACAATAATACACTGCACTACAGTATCATGTCAATTCGCTTGATGATTTCACATTGCAAAACTTGATCGACAGACTTCGAGAAGTGTTAAGAGCTAAAATTTAGACTGTTACATAGACTAGCCATCAGTGGCGGATTTGTCTGCACAACGCAAACCTATACAATCTTGTTTGCACTCATCCACCTTGTTCATATTCATGGAAGAAAAGTTGATCATGGCCTGAGAAACTCAGTAGTTACGTCTCTGTCTTCAACACTAAGCTACACAGGCTTGCATCATGAAAGGATCTCTGATTCCTTCACACTTGCAGATACTCCTCGCAGATGGTTGCCAAAAAGATCAAAAACTAGGTTCAGGAATATCAGTCGACTGACGTTTGATATCAAACAACGGAAAGATACGTAAACTTTGGATCCTACAATCACCGCTGCTAAGTTCTATCAAGAAATTATTTTATTTTGATTAATATTTGTCCCTTGGGTTCCTAGTAGAACATAAGCCTTCAGTAGCACGTCTCCAGTGCACTCTGTTCTCTGCAAACTTTTGAACCTGTCGCCACGACTGCCCACAAGCTCTCATTTCCTCCTCGCACAATCTCCTCCATTTCACCCTCGGCACCAAAGCCCAACTCGTCGCTTCCCATCTGGCCTCCACTCGAGTGCCTAGCCTGGCGCGTTATGTACCCAATCGGCCTTCTCAGTGTATACCCAATACAATCCATCTCCACTTCCTTCTGCATATTTGTTCAGCGATGGGTTCTTGGTTAGTTCGTTTCCAGAGTTCCTTGTTGCTTATTCTTATTACTCTGGTCATCTGATCTTCAGTAACAAGCCAGAGTAGACAGTTGTTGATGAATGTCTGTAGTTTGTTGGAAATGCTTTTGGTAACGCGCCAAGTTTCTAAACCATGTAGAAATACTTACTGACTTGACATTAGTGTTGAAAATTTGGATGTTGTTCACGCTTTATGCTGAGTGCAGTGCAGTGCAGTGCAGTGCAGTGCAGTAGATCTTCACACTGGTTTCTGGTTAATGAAGGCTTGTCTTGCTTTTCTGATCCTGGTTTTGATGTCCTCGTCTGTGCCGCCACCGCTGCCGCCTGTAGTTGAAACAGTGCTTCCTAGATAGGTCAAAGAGACTACTTCGCTTTAGGCCTCTCCCGTTGGTGAGGATTGGAGCTTATTGTTTACTTGAAGTCGCGTCTTTGCGGCCTCGCCTCTTCTGACAACTTGTTAGTTTTTGCCTGTAGATTTTCAAGTTTGTGTGACATTAGACATAAGTCATCGGCGAAATCCAAATCTCCTAGGTTCTTTTCCACGGCCCAGCCAGCGTGTCCCCCTCTTCTCGCTCCACACTGTTTGTTGCGTGATCCAGTCCAGTCCAGTCGACCACAATCAGGAATATTATGGGTGATAGTAGGCAGTCTTGTTTTACTCCTGTCTTCACCTCAAAGGCATCACTGAGCTCTCCATTGTGAATTACTTGGCATGTGGCATCTTCATATAGTTGTTGAATGAGATTGATATAGGTTTGTGGTATACTATCAAGAAATACGATTCAATAATTTTCTCTATCTAGTCACAAAACGGGAACATAATACTGTATACTAACAAATTCCAAAAAGCATTCAATGTAAAAAAACGTCATATGATTTCAAAGGTTGAAATTAATCCTCTGGAAATCCATATTTTTCTTCAAACGTTTCACACACTTTGCAAAATATTTTTTTAAATAAATTAATATTTTCACCTCTTCAAAAGCAAATAATTAAGTACTCGGGTCAGTATATGTAAATGAATGGGTAAAGTTAACGATACAATGGTTTCAGGAATCAAAATATTAGAAGTAGTGATGGATAGTGACTATCAGTAGAAACATGTTGGGGACGCACCAGTGGTGTGTATCAGCCTTCCAGTAAGCTATGTTGATCTCAGTGGGACTCAAACGCAGCACCCGTCGTTCCAGACGTCGAACAGCTATCCACTAGGTTACTGAGTCATAGCCGTCACTCCAAGTGCAGTTGGGATAGTCAGATGTTATAGCTTAATAAGCATCAAGCATAAAACTCACGGCAATAGTGAGATATCCACGTAAGAGTCCTAAAGTCAATAGTGCCCCATCGGAGACAGGAGGTACGAAAAAAAAGGGAACCCCTTATTACCTATAATTATGTTTGGTATGCAAGTCTTTGCATGCATGAATGCATTATACGAAACATGAATAGCAGCAGAACACACACAAATCACCAGTGCATATTACCTTGATCAAGATAATCCCAATTCATCCGTTTACAGTTGAACTCATCAAATATCATACTGTGGAATGGAATAACTTAACGACAACCTCATTATTCACATCACTTGCACAATTATAGTCAGTTGTCACTTCAAAGATTGATGATGAATGCTAATGTATGAAAGAGAGTGTGGATATCACCAACCGGGATTCCACATATCAATTTAGTACAAAACTGAACTCTCTCAAATCCCATCGATGAATTCCCGAGTATAAATAATTAGTAAGCTAGAAATCATGTAATAATGAAAGGAGTAATGACAAAGTGTGATGGACGAAAAGTCTTCATGGTTAGAAGTAATATCGAAGTCATTTTAGAATATATTCATACCCTTGTTTATGACACTGATTGAACATTTTCTCTGACATACAAACGACAAGCTGATGTCTAGGATTTTGCTACAGGTAGTAATAGTGAGCTGAATAGACAGTCGAAAGGGATGAGAAAATGAGTGGATGGTTGAACTTCTGTCGTCCCATGAGCGGACGAAATGGTTGCGTAATGCATCCAAAGATATATAAGTTGTTTTTGTGGAAGAATCAGATACGTTCACCTGAAATGTTAGGACAAAACACAATAAGACTGTCATCGAAGACGCTAACGAGAAACGTCGAGAAATTTCCAGTCGGAGGCAGTTTTCTTGGGTTATTTGAACCTTAAGGCATCCTCTTGTAGAAACTATACTGTACGCAAGAATTCACCATAAGATGATAATCAGTGTGACGCTGTGTGTAAGTGTGCAATGACGTGTTGACTTGTGTAACACTCTACGAGTTACACTTAATGCATTAGGATTAGAACCGTAACAGGTGGACTGAGATTAGAACACTTTATCGATTCGTTGAAATTCAAGTAGTCCAATCAATGAGCGGAATTCCGGAGTAGTATCATGATTTTTAGATTTAATGCGATTCCCTCATAATCTACTTAAGGCGTTCTACTCAGTGCTTCATAACTATAAACTCGAATACTCTTCTTTCTTAGACTTTAGCAAAACATTTAACTTAATAATACATTGTAAAGTACACATAGATTTCAGGTGACTTATAACAATATCGGAACTAACGATATTTCAATTGACAAACAAGCATCTGAACTATTTAATTCCTCCACAACTATACATATAGGTATCAATGACTACGAATTGACAGATATTAAAGAGGTATTGAAAGCTTAAAGGTATGGAACAATAGTTCAGACCTAGGTTGAGACTTGTCAACAATAAATACCCATAACCATGTGGGGAAATAGCCTCGTGATGAGCATGTTTCTGTTCATTTAATTTATTTGATCTTTTTCAAACTACTAAAGCCATACTGCATGTACGGTTACCTGTATAGCCTTTGATGCATAATTTATTATTTCACAGGAGAACGACTACAAAGTTGAACATAATTACCAACGACTGAATAACTGAGTGACTCAAAGATGCGACTACACTTTTTTTCATAGCAAACACTAAGATACATATCATGCTAATTTGTCAGTTCCAGTAATCCAGACTCAGACAAGAGTGCCAGCAAGATTCATTCCAGTGACTGCACGCCAGTTACATCAAATTCCTCCTAACAACTAAAGATAACCTATTCACAATTATCATTATGACTAGGTT